TTTTGCTCGTCGCAGTCCAACTCAAGGTTAATAGCCGCCGAGCTGACTTTGAGGAGGCTGAAGGATGCTGCCACTCCTCCTCCACCTCCTCACACCTCCTGCTTTCATCCTCTTGTTCAGCCTGTAAAAGTAGTGCAGGCGAGGGGAGTGGAAGTGCCGGGAAGGAGTTATTGTCCAGCGCAACCCCATTAACGATCCCCCGAGGTGCCGTAAGTGTCTTTCTTATGGGAGAAACCTCCATTAATTGTCTGATCAAACCTTGAGACCCTCACTTTTTTACTGCGGCGCGGGCCCTGAACCGCATTCAATCGAGGACCCTCTCAGAATAGATTTCCATCTAATGAAAGGAGCGCAGCGAGGAGGAGTTTCCATTAACTTCTCCTGGATAAAACTTTGGCTTGTTTGTTGAACTCGTGCGCTGTAAAACACTCAGCGGTGTTTTCAAGTGCGCTCCACGATTACTCCAGCTCACAGCGAAGGCACTGCGACTCGTGCCGGAGAGCCTCGCTGGGACGCCGAGCCGGCTGCACGCTGGCACAAAAGCTGGTGAAAGGAGGCGGACATTTGAAGGACGTTAAACGCAAGAATTCACTTCTCATTCCACGGTGAAAAGTGCAGGGTCAGCAGCACGTTACCCCCAGAATCAGCTGGTTTCATAGTAACTTTAGCCGCGGCACATTTTACCTTCAAACTATCAGTTGTTACAGAATTACACACGTGGGTCCAAATTTGGTGCTTTTTGATAGTTTTTCCAGCATTTTTGGTCCATTGTAGCTCCATAACAGGAGACGTCCACGTTACGCCTTCGCGGCTGGAAACATAAAGTCTGTTAAAGTTGGAGCCAAATCAGTTTAACATCCACCCTCAGAGATAAAAATCTGCTGTCGCTGATTCGCTCTGGGTCAGAATCATTTTCCTTAAATTCTTTCTGCTGATAAATGGAAAATGAAACAATATTTTCTTATTTGTTAAGACGATTTTAAAGTCTTCATTTCATGTCTGATAAAGTTCGCTCGCTGCCTGTTTAAGTAAAGAGAGTCTGTGAGATGAAGCTTTTGTAAGCAGAGCTCGGAGAAACTTTGTGAAGTTTCCTGAGGAAGATGGGAGAGTTTACAGTTCAGGTGCTGAAGATGGCGTCACAGGCCTCCTGAAACGTCCACAGTGTCCACGGAGAAGGATGAGAGGGATGACACGTGTCATCTCATGTAGCAGCGCTGTGTAAAGAGAGCCAACGCCGCTGAGCCCTCATCGGTTGGCTTTCCTTCCCCGACGTCTCCAGCGTGAATCCAACAGCTCCTCTCACAGTGTCTTAATCGCTGCTTTGAAGGCCAAATCGAGATGAAGATCTTCAGCCGTGTGAAGTTTACGGGGTAAAAAAAAGAAAAAACTGAACCAAAGCGACGTCTGCCTTGAAATTACTTTTACTGTCGCATTAAAATAAAAGAGGAACTTTCTTCTTCTTCATTCGGAGGAATCAGAGGCGCTT